TCGTGAAATCGTGAATTTTGGACTCTGAAAAATTATTTACCAATGCATCGAAATGAATAAAAATGACCAAAAATCATGGGTATAACTCATAAATCATGAAATTTGGCATGTGTGAAATTATTTGCCAATAGGTCTGAATAACTAAAAACCATAAGTTATAACTCATAAAATCATGAATTTCGAACTCTCCAAAATTATTTGACAACATCAAAATGAATAACAATGGCCAAAAATCATGATTTAGAGCTCATAAAATTGTGAATTGTAAACTTCTCAAAATTATTTGTCAATGGGTTGAAATGACTAAAATTAATCAAAAATCATGGGTTATATCTTATAAAATCATGAATTTCACACTCCACGAAATTATTTTCTAATAAGTTAAAATGAAGAAAAATAACTTAAAATAGTGGCAATAGCGCTTAAATTTCGACTCTGCGATAATATTTACCAATGGGTCGAAACGAATAAAGCGACAAATAATCGTAAATAATAGCTCATAAAATCTTGAATTTTAACCTCCACGAAAGTATTTATCAATGGGTCGAAAAGAATAAAAATAGTAAAAAAATCATGGGTAATAGCTCATGAAATCGTGAATTTTGGACTCCATAAAACTATTTGCCAATGAGTACAAATGATTAAATTAAAATGGACAAAAATCATTAGTTATAGCTCACAAATTATGAATTTTTACATTAGCAAAATTATTTTTCAATGGGTCAAAATGATTAAAAATGACAAAAAATCATAGATGATAAAATCATGAATCTAGGCATCCGCGAAATTATTTGGTAATAGGTTGAAACGACTAAAAATGACCAAAAATCGTGAGTTGTAGGTCATGAAATCGTGAATTTTAGAGTACACAAAATTATTTCTCATTGGGTTGAAACGACTCAAAATGATAAAATAAGCATGGGTTATTGCTAATAAAATCTTAAATTGTGAACTTCGCAGAATTATTTACCAATTGGTCAAAATGAATAAAAATAGCTAAAATTGTGGGTTAGAGCTCATGAAATTATGAATTTTAGACTCTGCAAAATTGTTTGCTAATGGCTTAAAATGAATAAAAATAAAAAGTAATCATGGGTTATAACTCATAAAATTATGCATTTTGCCATCCATGGAATTATTTGCCAGTGAGTCAGAACGACTAAAAATAATAATAATCCTAGGTTATAAAGCTAATAAAATTATGAATTTTAGACTTCGCAAAATTATTTACTAACAACTCGAAATAAATAAAAATAGCAAAACATTATGGAATATAGCTCATGAAATCGTCCATTTGGGCATGCGCAAAATTATTTGTCAATGGTTCAAAAGCGCAAAAATGGCAAAAAATTATGGGTTATAGATCATGAAATCCTTAATTTTAAAATTAGCTAAATTATTTGCCAATGTGTCAAAATATCTAAAAATGACCAAAATTCATAGGTTATAGCTCATAAAATCATGAATTTTAGACTTCATGGATTTTTTTTTTCTCTTGGATCAAAACAAACGAAAATGGACGATCACAAATTATAATTCATGAAATCATAAACTTCGAACTCTAGAAAATTATTTGTCAATGGATTGAAAAAAATAAAAAATGGCCAAAATAGTAGGTTATAACTTATGAAATCGTGATATTCAAACTCTGCAAAATTATTTGTCAATGAGTCTAATTGAATGAAAATAATCATGAATTGTAGCATACGAAATCATGAATTTCAGACTTTGCGAAGTTTTTGCAAATGGGTCAAATGGACTAGTGCCAATGTGTCTAATCAATAAAAATGATAAAAAAAGGGCAACATTCATAGATTATAGTGCATGAAAATCTCAAATTTTAAAATACGCATAATTAATTGTCATTAGATTAAAAAAACTAAAATGGACAATAATTGTGGGTGTCCATGAAGATAGCAATTTTTGAGCTGCACACAATTGATTGTTACTAGGCAGTAACAAGCACAAATGGACAAAATCGTGGAGTACAACCCATTAAAATTGTGAACTACATATTTTTAATTGCTTTTAGGTTGAAATGAAAAAAAATACAAATATATTCGGCTATAGCCCACGTTAATTGTGATTTTTTAAGTAGAGCATAATTAATTGCCTTTTGGACGATCAAACAAATATGGACAAAATATGGGTTATGTAACCCACATAAATTGTGAATTTTGCGATCACCAAACTTATTGCACTTGATTGAAACAAATGAAAATTTACAAAGTAATCAGTATAGCTAATTAGGGCTGAGCATGGTTCGGTCCAAACCGAAAAAACCGACCGAACCGATCCGAAAAAATCTGTTTTATGAGTAGGACGGTTCGGATCGGTTTGAAAACTTTTCAACCTGAACCGACCCGAACCGACCGAATATAGTGCAATACTATCATTCTGATCTCAAACCCTATCCGACCCGTCCCCAAAGAGTCAAAGACTCAAACCCTAAACTCATTTTCTGAATCATTATGGGTTGAAAACAATATCATTATATCAGTGTTTAATGCTTCATAATCTCCTACTTTGTTGATATCTTTTTTTAACACAGTTTATTGTTTGATAAGAAGTTTGATGAAGTTAGAACCGAACAAACCGAACAAACCGAACCGCACCGATCCGACTTGCAACAGTTCGGTTCGGTTTTGAATTATAGGCAGTTCGGTTCGGTTGTTCAAAAATTAGTAAAAACCGAACCGAACCGAATGTTGCACACCCCTATAGCTAATGAAAATCACAAATTTTTAATAAAGAAAGCATAATTGTTAGTGGGTCGAAACATATGATAATTGACCAAAATCATGTTTTCTACCGCATGAAAATCGCAAATTTTGACATACGCACTATTCATTGTTGTTGGATTAAAACGAACAAAATGAATAAATCAGGGACTATAATCCTTGAAAATCACAAATTGTCATTTTATTGAAACAAACGCAAATCTATACTACTTATAAATGGGAATACTCATGTCAAAACTTTTGGTTTCCTTTTTTGCCCTCTCAAATTTTGGTAACTTGCAATTTTACTATTAATTAAAATTAAACTTTAACTGGACCTCCTCACTTTTCCATATATTTAGGCATTCACTAAAATGTAATTAATCAAAATACCTTATAATGATAAGAAAATTGATAAAATATGTTATAATATATATAAACAATTATTAATCATAATAAAATGGTATCAAATAATCAGTGTAATAAAATATTTATAAAATAACTATAAACAATTTATTAAATAATATATTCTTAAATTGTCAAGTGCCAATGCATAAACTGTTAACTATGGTTAAACTTTGACAAATTATCCAAAACATCTTGTTAACTACGGACCTCCTCAATTTCCTAAATTATATTTAGGCATTCACTAAAATGTAATTAATAGAAATACTTTATAATGATAAGGAAATCTATGAAATATGTTATAATTTATGTAAACAATTGTTAATGATAATAAAATAGTAAAAAATAATCAGTGTAATAAAATCTTTTATAAAATAACTATAAATAATTTATTAAATAATATATTCTTAAATTGTAAATGCCTATTTATAAATTATAATAAAATAATATTATAAATAAAATATTACGCTATTAATCATTCTTAAAAAAGTATATTACTCAATAAATAAAAATTGTCTAAATATTTAATAGTAAAAATAATATAACTACTTTAATATTATAACTACGAATTATAGTATTATTTAATACATTATATTATAGTGAATAATAGTATTATAATTATACTATACAAATATTATAAATAAGAATAGCTATGACTAGCATATAATTTATTATGATCATTCTACATTATAGTTGAAAAAATATAATTATATATTATAATATTAAATAAAATTTTAATTTGTTATAAAAAATCTAAATAAATTATGATTAATTAAACTACAATAAATTATCCAAAATATAAAAAAATGCTCATGCAATTCTTTACACACTACTTTATTTATTAAAATGAGAGTTTATATTATTACATAAGTCACTTCATAATTTTGCATCGAAATAATAATGTCTACGTGCAAAGTATGTGTACTATACTAGTATAGAAAACTTGTGGACCATAGCCCATGTTGAAGTTTCTATATCTTGTTGTTTTTCAGTTCCTCAGTTCTCCACTGCCTTCCTGGTCGGTTAGCAGAGGTCAACCTTTAAACAAAGAGTTTATGCTTTTTTTGTGAGAACAGCAATTAAGCATACCAGGAACATAGTTACAGGTGCTGTTATCATTTTATCCCTTACTAGAATTACTATTTTTGTTAATAACTAAGCATAATCCTGCAATTAGAGGTGAAAAATAGCTCACAATTTGATTAAAATTGTAACCGTAGAAAAATTTACTAAATTTAGGTTATCATTTAAGCCACTTACAAGGTTATTACAGTGTTTGAAAGTAAATGGAACCAACGTGGACTGGATGAAATTTAATAACAAGTTCACAAATACTACAATATTTGACTAGGAAACCAAATCCTGGGAAGTTTAAATAAAGCTATCATCTACACGTGCATATCAAAATAGATAGAACCCCTAAACAAAAAGATTGAAGATTGAAGATCAATAAACCAAAGAGAAGCACAGAATGTTGTGTAGTTATTCAGCTCCAATCTCTAATATGCAAGCAAGAGATGAAGGTGATGACAACACGTGCTTTTATGAGTTTTATTATCAGCCTCCATAGCAACATTTGCATATTTACCAGGAGGTCATTCTCAAACTCAAAATGGCCCCCCCTCGATATCAATAATCTGACGCCACGTGTAACTAAAGGCTTAGCACGTCAGCCCTACCCACCAAAAATGAAAGAAAAGGCAACATATATATGCAATATCACGTCAGCCCTACTCCAGGAGGGACTCAGAGAAGGAACACATATATGAGGTTTAGACAAAATATCTCGTCCCACCCACAAAATGATATCTTCATAGATTATGCAATATCACAAGATATACAGAAGTTTTTCAAATCAAAGAGGGAAGGAAATACCTGAGGGTAACCCATGCTAATGCTTGTAGACAGCAACCAGAATAGGAAGTAAACCATAGTAGAATTCACTGACGCTTCGTATGTCAACAGATGATGTGATCATTGCCGAATTTTTAAATGGCAATCTCAGCCAAGTAGGTTATTCATAAAACTTGCCCAGATTTCCTGCAATATTTCATAAAAGATTCGGATCAATGTAGTATATGCCATTGAAACATATAGTCCATATGCCACTAGAATATGGATAACACTCCATTACCAATGAATTTTGAGAATGATATCATTTTTCACTATGAAGCTTTTGAAACTGCCAGATTAAACCTGTACTGAGCAATACTAGTATTTCGAAGATAGAAATTTCGGAAAATAATAGGAACCTCTTCAAGGAATTTGTACCATTCTAATGCTAAAAACAACAAAGCACACACCAACATATTCGTATGGCATGATTCTGATCAGATGATTCACCATATTACATTACCTAAAGAACAAAAAATAATCCCCAGCCTATTAACTATGCTATCATCCACCTCAAGTGCCGGTATCTAATCCACTTAGCAGCAACATGAATACCAATAGATAAAGCAGCTAGTAGAAGTGGCAGCGGAAGCTTCCTCTGTTTCAATGAAACTTCAACATTTACAGCCTCTTCTGATGACTTAGAATTCTGAACAATAGCAAGGGCTAGGTAAGAAACCATAGTTAAACCCCTCACCCAAGGCTCCCCAATAGCAGCCAAAACAGCCGCAGATGGGAGAGCTGCTGATGTACTCTCTCTCTTCTTAATAAACCGAGAGAAGCAGAATATACCAACAAGAAATAACCAAAAGAATGGCTCAAGAATCTCTCTTCTTAATAAACCGAGAGAAGCAGAATATACCAACAAGAAATAACCAAAAGAATGGCTCAAGAATAACCCCCTTAACGGCCCCAAACCCAATAGAATATACCAACAAGAAATAACCAAAAGAATGGCTCAAGAATAACCCCCTTAACGGCCCCAAACCCAATAATCCCAGCTAAAGTGAGAAGATACGGTTGACTGTTCACTGAATCAGGGACTGTAGCTTCACCAATGGCCAATATCGTTGACGCAAATAAGATAATTCTTGTCAGTTCTGGAACAGGCGCAAAAGCTATAATGCTAAAGTAGATGTCACGAACAAGATAGAGAGAGGACTCGATAATTCTTATAAATCCAGTGATTGGATCACCAATGAAATGAAATACAAATGCCAGGGCAAGCTTGGATAAGTAACCGAAGAAGTGTAAGATTGCCAATGCAGCTTTCTTCCAATTACTGAGTTCCCATAATACAGTGCGCCAACAATAAACTAGGAAGAATAAAGCTGCAAATCACCATATAGAAAAACAAGAAGAAAAAAGAACTTGGTTAGAACAGTTTGTGAAATATTCTCGGTGTATTTTAATTTTTTCTTTAAAGAATTTAAGAAGTTCACCATGTTACTGAGTTTGTGAAATATTCTCGGTGTATTTTAATTTTTTCTTTAAAGAATTTAAGAAGTTCACCATGTTACTGATAAAATACAGAAAGACTACTAAATAAAAAATTAGAATAATATAATTCATCTCGTTGATTTTATGTATATGTGTGTTAGGTAACACAACTGACGACAAACTAGGATGGAGTAAGAAGAAAGAATCCAAATGCAAAGTTATCAACAGCTGACCAACAAGATTTTCAGTTGATATTCGGCCAAATTGAGCGAAACTAGTAAAGCTAACAATTAACAATCTTACGTAGCTCCTTTGATAGTAATACTTCAAGAGACTCCAGTTGAGATAGGCTCATATTGACGGTATTCAATATGTGGATACTATCAGTCCAAAACTAGAATTTGAAAATTTCCAAATTGAAAATATGTGCCGTTGGATGCAATGTAATACACCCGAACCATCCGGAAAAAAAATCCAATGATTTTCATGCATTTTAATCAAGTATCACGGTGCCAAAGAAATTAAGCAAATTTAGTAAAATTCCAAAACATTTAATTTTGACAACATATGACAGATGCACAAGAAAAAAATATGTTGAATCCTTCAAGATGTATTTCTATACAGTTATGGCATCTATTTTCAGTTTTGAAATACAAATTTTAAATTTTGATTGATCATACGCACATATTCTATACATAACATAGCTCTATTCAGAGAAACTCCGTAGATTTCACCGAAGACCAGAACTTTGGCGTTGGGATTGCTTTCCTAGTCACCGTTAGCTCAAACACCGAAATCTAGTGAAAGGGGAAAAAGGTCTCTCCTTTTTCAATAAAAACTCACCAATTACCCACGGCCACCTCACCGGCCGATCAGGCGCCTCTCTGGTGAGGTACCGGAATCTCTCCGGCATCGTACTCTCCCCTCCCGACTGATACTCCGGCGCCGGCGACCGCGGATCCATTCCTCCATCGTTCTTGACGGCGTGGACAAGCAACCCTAGGCCCCTCCGATCAAAAAGATTGGATCTTTTAAGCGAGGAGAACCGAGGAGAGGAGAGGGGCGGAGAGGGGAAGGGTTTGAGGAGATGAGGAGAGGATCTAGATTTAGGGTTTAGAAGGAGAGGAGGAGAGGAGGAGGGACTGAGCTTGAGAGAAGCGGCCATTGAAATGGAAAGAGAAAGGGGTGAGATTTGGATAACGGTGAGGTTTTGGGTTTAAATGGTTTTATGTTGGGTTTTTTTTTTGGATATTGTTCTCTCCAATCTTTAATATTTTTAAACTAGACCCTCTAATCATCGAAATTGCTATGATGCCCCCCTAATTCATTTTCGCCACACCGGGAGCTTAGGAAGGTGTAAATGAGTTTATAAGGTGGGTCATGAGAATCAATTGCAAGGATCGATGGTCATTCTCGACAATGGTTTGAGTCGAACAACGTGTCGCACTCGGTCGCAGGCTTATATCGCTCCGAGGGTCGCACAGGGCGTGAGAGAATGGTATTAGAGCAGTTAGACCTAAATTGGGAGGACATAAGTTAGATATTTCTCCAAAGAGATATTATGTGCTTCCATCCGGCTGTATGAAGATCACAACAGTGTTGTGTTGATTTGAGTCAACAATTCAGTTGCATAACTATATTTCATAAAATATCAAGATTGCCTATGACATCAAAGGAACTAACACTCCACTTTTTGCAAACATCCATAAACTAACGCTTTAATCCTGGACAAACTCTCGGTCCTCCTGCAAATGGCACGAAACAGTAAGGTGGTACTGATGCAATGTTCTCAAATCGATTAGGATTGAACTTTTCTGGCTCCGGGTAAAACTTTGGATCCATTTGTGTAACACTCAGTTGCCCAAAATACCTGGAAATTTTCAGAATGCACAGAATCAGATCAAGTGATGTCATAGATACTCAATTTACCGATAAATTGATGTAGGACGCTTAACGGACAATTTCACGGAGGATTCGGACAATCACGAGCTAAATACAGATTTATATGTATTAGTAACTTCCGTAAAGAAACAATCATATCTTTAAATCCGGAAGGCGGATTCTGACATGTTATATATGTATAATCGCCAATCTCGACGAGACCGAGCCAATCAGATTGTCAGATTTTTAAAATCTCATCAGCAATACCCAGTTTTGGCTGAAATCCGAAAATAATCAGCCTTTAGTTTATTTTTAGTATTAAAGTTAGAGTCAATTTAGATTAGGAAATAAATTCAATGCTAGAGTCAAATTAGATTATGAGACAGATTCAATTTTGATTCATGATTTGTTTCCTCTATTATAGGGAGTCTTTTTAGGGTAGTATTTGATACTTTCTTTTTCTTTGTAATTCAAGTCTTACTAGGAGTCTTGTTTGTTTTTCTATTTAAGAAGAGTCATGTAACCCAAAGGAGAATATCTTGGAATTAAATAAAACTTCTATTGAAGAAAGTTTTGGTGTGTTTTCTTGAGTATGTGGAAGAAGTCCTCGTGGTAAGGCTTCTTTGTTTTCGCTGCTGCGTCCAGCAGTATACCCAGGAGTTTTATAGACTATCGGCGTAGAACAACCTGAACGAAACAGAGGGACAACAGATTTCCAGGTTCATCGGTGGGCTTCGCACCGTGATCAAGGATCAAGTGCAGTTGACAACCATATATAGTGTGAATGAAGCAATAAATCGTGCTATGAAGGTGGAAGCGCAACTCACACGTCCCAATAGATATCAGTCCAATTACAAGAGATTTGGTGAGTCATCATGAGGTCAGAATACAAGGTATAAGCAGACTAAAAACCAGAACACTACTCAAAAGGATACAAATGATAAGACGGACTCGGCAAAGCAAGGGAATCGAGGTTTGCAGAATCAGCAGAATTTCCAGAATCAAACGAGAGGAGTTCAGCCGAATCGACACAATAATAATCTCTATGTACGGACTCATGGGAATAAATGTTATCGCTGTCAACAGACGGGGCACTTATCCAATAACCGTCCTAACCGTGGTAGAGTTAATATGGTTGAAAGGAAGGACATCGAGGAAGGCTGTTAGGAATCTTGACCCCAAGATTAGTTTGTTTTGATGATAACAAATATTATATGTTGTGTGTATTATGTGCTAACATTTGTTTTACAGTATCAGAGCTATATCAACAATTATATTCAAAGAGATACTCAAGACATAGATGAGTTCAAGGCAAAATGAAGCAAAGAAGAAGATATACTTTATTGTCAAAATATAATTTTATATTTTCTTTGCTTAGAAATTTGTACAAGCCTTGATCACTCGCACACATAGTGTTAGAACACACTAACACATGCTTAGTGTGTTGGTTAACAATAGAAATCCCCTATGTTAGCCATTAGAGTTTATAGATATTGAGTGAGTCTTAAAATATTTTATTTATACCCCTTAGCAATTAGAATCTGAAAAAACTCAAAAAATCAAAGTTGTAGGTCTCTTCAACATCTTTCCAATAAATCTTAAATCACCTCATTCCGATGTCGGATGAGAAAGTTACAGTCAAAACACTGAAAAGAAAATTCCAGAATCTGTGAGTTTACAGTGTAGTCGACTACTATACCTTGTAGTCGACTACTAAGCAATTTTCTGACTTCACAGAGTCTGTTTAGACTAAGTGTAGTTGACTACTATGACTTGTAGTCGACTACAGATGTAGTTTTCTAGATTTTAGTTTTTGAATAAGTGACTGTTTATAGCCGTTTCGTGTACGTTTTTAGGGGTTAAAAACTTATCTTTTCAAGGGCTATAAATAGGTTATAAGTTCAGAAATTTGTACAACTCATTCATACACATAAGATCAAATATTTGTGCATATTCGCTCTCTAGTTTTTCAGATTTTCATGCTAAGTGTTTAGAAAAAAAGAGTTTCTGATATTGCCTTGGTTTCAATCATTCTTAGAGATTGTATATGCAATATTCAGAGAGTTAAAAGAATCCTAAGTTACTGCTGCACTTCACTACACATTCAAGACTTATGGGATCAATTGTGTTCTTTCTTTAAAAATGATTTCTCTTGGGTTTGAGAGGGTTGATCTATTGGTTTAGAGATTAGGTGGCAATTAGCATGGTCTTATTAATTGGTGTTGCAATTTGCATGGTCTTGCAAATTGGTCAGGTTTGCTTTTGATTTTGTAAGGTTTCAAAATCATAGTGGAAACTCTCAAGCGGGATTTGCTTGGGGACTGGATGTACACCGGGGAGGTGGAACCAATATACATGCTTTTTTGTGATGTTCACTTTCTGAGATTGTCATTCTTTCTTTGTAATTTATAATCTACTTTGCAAACTCACCCTCCAGTGTTTAAGTGTAAAGCTTCCACAGATTTTTATAAGAGAACGCTCTACTCTTAAGGGTCACAATCCTACACTTGGTATACATAAGCAAAAACAGGACCCTACAAAGGCGAGCTTGAGATTGAGGTCGAATACCATACGATTAATCCTGATGATGTGTATGACGAGGACAAGCGCGAGGTGCACGTAGTGCATAGAATGATGTTGGCAACTAAAAGGGTGTCTGAGGACCCGCAAGGGCATAATCTTTTTCGAACTCGTTGCAAGGTGAATCAGCATGTGATTGAGTTGATAATTGATAGCGGTAGTCAAGAGAATTTAATATCTCGAGAAGCAATAGATAGGCTGAAGTTGCAGACACAGAAGCACCCTTCCCCTTACAAAGTCAAATGGATTACATCCGTGGGTGATATCAAGGTCACCGAACAGAGCATAGTTAATTTTTCTATTGGCAGAAAATCTACAGTATCGTTATGTGCCGCGAGGGAGTTTTAGAAGGAGTCTTTGCATGCCCTGTTTGTGTTTGCAGTAGTGAATAAGGGATTCACTGGTTCTGTGAATGACATTCGAGAACAGTTAAATTCCCTTTTGAAGGAGTTTTGTGACATCATGCCTGAAGAGCTTCCCGCTGGATTGCCTCCGCTTCGAAATATCCAGCATCATATTGACCTCGTACCTGGAGTCACTCTTCCTAATCTTTCTCATTACAGGATGAGCCCAATCGAACACAAGATATTGCGGGAGCAGGTGCAGGATTTATTTCAGAAGGGGTACCTTATGGAGAGCATAAGCCCATGCGCAGTGCCAGCCCTCCTAGTGCCTAAGAAGGACGAGACTTGACGGATGTGTGTTGATAGTCGGGCTATCAATAAAATACACATGATGTGGGAAAGAATAATATACGAATTTGGTTCAGAAGAAATCCTAGTCGAGGAGTTAAAAGAGCAAATAGAGAAAATCAATGCTAAGTACAAAGCGGATGCTGATCGATGTAAGAGAAGAAAATTATTTATCCATGAAGCTACTATTCTAACAAATATAAACTCGGGGTCGAGCTTCTTTCAATAAGGGGAGACTGATGTAAGACACTTAACAAATAATTTCATGGAGGATTCGGACAATCACGAGCTAAATACCGATTTATATGTATTATTAACTTCCGCAAAGAAACAATCATATCTTTCAATCCGAAAGACAGATTCTAATATGTTATATATATAAATCGCCTATCTCGACGAGACCGAGCCAATCAGATTATCAGATTTTTAAAATCTCATCAGCAATACCCAGTTTTGGCCGAAATCCGAAAATAATCAACCTTTAGTTTATTTTTAGCATTAAAGTTAGGGTCAATTTAGATTAGGAAATAAATTCAATGCTAGAGTGAAATTAGATTAGGAAACAGATTTAAATTTTTTTTCCTAATATTACTAACTCGTTTAATTACACCATAACTCATGACAGCGAAAGGAGCGGTCTGAATGGTGCATTTTAGCAGGCGATTCTCCCTGCTAACATGCTCCTCCGCTTAGATCTCAAATGGCGAAGACGAAGAAGAAGAAGTCTGGAAGCAAAGGAATCTTGAGTGGAGAGCTGAGGGATTCGATCTTCATCTATAAATCCTCAGCTGCTGGTGAGTCCTCGTTCAATGTTGACGAGATCTTGGATGGAACAGTTAACTCTCATATCTCTAAAGAAATGGAGATGGAGAGTACGGGTCCTGACGAGATCTTGGATGGAACAGTTAACTCTCATATCTCTAAAGAAATGGAGATGGAGAGTACGGGTCCAAAGGGAGCAAAGAAGAAGCTGATGATGAATGATATTCTTGCTAGAGCTGGTTCTTGTTTAGATCCGCCGATTCTTCAAAAGGATGTTGGTTTTAGATCTCGTCAGCTCAGTTCCTC